TCCCAGCGTATTAGGCAGTCGGTAACACTCACTCAGTTTTGCTTATTGATTGTCTCATTTGCTGAGATCAGTAATTGATTTCTCAGAACTACCTACAAAATATGAGTGTATGTATATTCATAAATAAATCAAGTAAATAAATAAAAGCTGCGAACATGAGTTGTGACTCTCTCCAAAAGTAATAATATGAAATAAAAACAAAAACAATAACGTGTAGCCAGAGCCAGATGTGAGAGTTGCCGTCGAGGTTATTGATAGGCGTATTGCTGATTAAGAGGGAAGTCGGAGGGGGATCAAAGTTTGCCGGCTGGAGGCGATTTGCGAAGCATTTGAAACAGAATTTGAAAACTTTTTGCTTAGCGATTAGTTAAAGTGCAGCAGCCGTAGAGAACGGACGTGTGTGCAGTTCCTCCAGTTATATCTACTACAGTTTGACATTCAGCTAATGACGTCACCGATCATGAGCTCATCTTTGCAGTTGTTCAGCCTAGTTGCTGTGCTGCTGCTGCTCTCGCTTTGCGGTGGTGGCCAAGCACAGTTTAAGACGGCCGGCATCAAAACCCGTCAGCCGGTACAGGCTGCAGGCAATCTACAGCTATCCAGCAATGCCAGCAGCGAGTACAACCAAACCCAGTACCAGACCCAGACCCAGACCCAGACTCAATACAGCAGCTACGGCAACTACGCCAATTTCGTGCCCGCCGAGACATATCAAGGAGCTTCAGGACATTATGTTCAATCGCTCAATCAGGTGCATCGGGCTCCACAGGTGCTGGATGAGACGGCGCTATTCATCAACAAAACCCGCTCGGCTATGGCCAGCGGCATATGCTACAAGGAAGTACCGTAAGTCTATAAGGGACGGGGCAGGGGAATGGCGTAGTGAATATATATGTAAAGAAATTATTGAAATTAGAATTGTAGTTATAGTAGTAGCAGGATAGACTGAAAAGCATGTTCTTAATGTGAAAGAAAGATTGGAACAGAAGAAAATATTATTTATTTAATTATTATTATTTAATATGTGATATATGTGATATGTTAATAATTAATATAAATATATTCATTCAATTAGAATCGTTTATTTTAGGCAACTCTTTAATGTTAACTAACGTAAAATCCCCTTGCATAAGCTCGAAATTATTGTCGCGCAGCTTAGAGTAATTGAAAATGGGGCAGCTGCGCATTGAACACATTGAACTAATAACCTCGACATCCTCTTGACTTGCCTGATAATGAAATGCGATTTCAAATTTCATTTGATATAGAATTTGTATACTTATTACGCTTATATTTGTTTATGTGATATTTAAAGAAAAACAAGCGCAGAGACCTTGAGCAATGAGGAAAACATATATATGTATAAATATATAAAATATATAAATATATATATATATACTTATATATGTATATTGTTGACATAGAAAAATAATTAGGATTGGAGGCTTATTGAAATAAGATTCAGTTTCATATATATATCTTAAAGGCTTACCAGAAATTGAATGCAATATAGGATATATTCTATTTAGATAGACTTAAATTAAGTAACCCTTAAGTAAAAAAATACTTCTTGATTGCTTTTATCATCATCTGTCATCATAAATATTATTAAATTTTATTTAAGAAGCATGCGTATTAGGTATTTATAATATTATGATGATAAATTTAATGATATGTTGTTAGATCTTAATTGAAGAGTCTGATTTATGCCTGACCGGAACAATTTTAAACCTAACTTAAATGAAATATATCAATTTAAAACAAGTAAGAAAGCTCTAGTCGGGGTGCCCGACTAGGAGATACCCTGATCCCAGTCCTTTGAGTTTTGTAATATTTTCCGTAGTTTGTATCGAGTATTAAAAAAAAAAAAAGAAAAAAAATAAAAATCGACTTTGCGAGACCCGGATTCGAACCCGGATTATTTGCGCAACGTTCACAAACACTACAAACACCGCCACTTCATAACTAAAAATAAAACAATAAAAAACATTTCATCTCCACTGGACTCGAACCCGGACCAAGCTGCATGCGAGCGGCGCCTCTACCAACGCAGCCGCTGTCCTTCTTATTCGATCTGCTGCAAATTTGAACATAAGTAGCAGCTAATATTCAGCTTTAATTCAATCGCAATTTCAATTCTTGGAATAGAAAAGAATTCACGCATTTGAATGTATGTGTGCACACGCATAGGAAAAATGCGTGCGCGTGGCGCTGCTGACATGTGCTTTTGCAAATTGGCCAAACGTTTTGTTTAATAACTTCTGTTTTACTTAATGGATTTTAATGAAATTTTCAGCATATGATCTACATATCCTATTGGCTTGGTTGAGATGCAAACGCCTTCACATAATGGCCCTAGTTCCAACTTAACTTAAATTCTAAGAATTTGGGGGAATTTGGAGCCGGTATCCAAAATCCAACAAAAATCAAAATTGCATAAAATATACATAAGACTAAATACAAAATTTGGAGGCTCTAGCTCTTAAGACGTTCGAGATATAATTTATTTACTGCATTTCAATAATGTTTTTATTCGATAACAATTAAATGCGAATAGTTATCGAATATTTGAAATAAACTTGACCTGCGCGTGCTATACACGGACCTACAAAAAAAATTTCAAGTCTCTAGCTCTTATAGATGCTGAGATCCACGCGTTCACACATACGGACAGACGGACAGACGGACAGACGGACAGACGGACAGACAGACAGACGGACAGGGCTCAATCGACTCGGCTTGTCGTCCTGATCAAGAATATATATACTTTATGGGGTCTGCCACGCCTCCTTCTGCCTGTTACATACATTTGCACAAAACCATTATACCCTGATTTCCCATTTTTAATGGGATCAGGGTATAAAAATATACCTATTATATTCATGCATATTTTCAATTCGTTCAGCACTGCATCCTTGTTGCATGGCTCGCGGGAAAAGTATGTTGGCAATGGCACATCACCAGATCTAAGTCAGATTCAGGTTTGCTGTGAGGGTTACGAGCGCAATCCCCATATCTATAGACGCTGCGAGCCCGTCTGCGTGGACGATTGCCCCAATGGTATTTGCACAGCTCCCAATACTTGCGTTTGTATGCCCGGACATGTGAGAACGGACGAGGGTAAATGCATCTCTACCTGCCCGCTGGGCTGTGGCAACGGAGTGTGCGATGAACAGAACGAATGCCGGTGCCGCGAGGGCTACAAACTGGATCCGGTTAGCCGCAAGTACTGCCAGCCAGAGTGCAATCCAGGCTGTGCCAATGGACGCTGTGTGGCGCCCAACAAATGCGATTGCCTTCAGGGCTATCGCCGTGCCGCTGATGGCAGTTGTACTCCTGTCTGCGACCACTGCGAGAATGGACAATGCATCAAGCCAGGGCAGTGCAGCTGTCATGTGGGCTACCAGAATGTGGAGGGACGTTGTGAACCTATCTGTGACCAGTAAGTATCGATTGATTGATTTTAATATTAATAGGCAGTCACAGTCACAGTCACAGTCACAGTCACAGTCACAGTCACAGTCACAGTCACAGTCACAGTCACAGTCACAGTCACAGTCACAGTCACAGTCACAGTCACAGTCACAGTCACAGTCACAGTCACAGTCACAGTCACAGTCACAGTCACAGTCACAGTCACAGTCACAGTCACAGTCACAGTCACAGTCACAGTCACAGTCACAGTCACAGTCACAGTCACAGTCACAGTCACAGTCACAGTCACAGTCACAGTCACAGTCACAGTCACAGTCACAGTCACAGTCACAGTCACAGTCACAGTCACAGTCACAGTCACAGTCACAGTCACAGTCACAGTCACAGTCACAGTCACAGTCACAGTCACAGTCACAGTCACAGTCACAGTCACAGTCACAGTCACAGTCACAGTCACAGTCACAGTCACAGTCACAGTCACAGTCACAGTCACAGTCACAGTCACAGTCACAGTCACAGTCACAGTCACAGTCACAGTCACAGTCACAGTCACAGTCACAGTCACAGTCACAGTCACAGTCACAGTCACAGTCACAGTCACAGTCACAGTCACAGTCACAGTCACAGTCACAGTCACAGTCACAGTCACAGTCACAGTCACAGTCACAGTCACAGTCACAGTCACAGTCACAGTCACAGTCACAGTCACAGTCACAGTCACAGTCACAGTCACAGTCACAGTCACAGTCACAGTCACAGTCACAGTCACAGTCACAGTCACAGTCACAGTCACAGTCACAGTCACAGTCACAGTCACAGTCACAGTCACAGTCACAGTCACAGTCACAGTCACAGTCACAGTCACAGTCACAGTCACAGTCACAGTCACAGTCACAGTCACAGTCACAGTCACAGTCACAGTCACAGTCACAGTCACAGTCACAGTCACAGTCACAGTCACAGTCACAGTCACAGTCACAGTCACAGTCACAGTCACAGTCACAGTCACAGTCACAGTCACGTCACAGTCACAGTCACAGTCACAGTCACAGTCACAGTCACAGTCACAGTCACAGTCACAGTCACAGTCACAGTCACAGTCACAGTCACAGTCACAGTCACAGTCACAGTCACAGTCACAGTCACAATGAAATTCTATTGACATTATCTTCCTCTTCTTTTCTTCCTCCTGTGGAACAGACCCTGCAAGAACGGTCGTTGCATTGCGCCCAATACATGTGAATGTGCCCCGGGATACGATTGGGAGCGTAAGAGCGCACAGTGTGTGCCCCACTGTGATGCGCCGTGCCTGAATGGCGTCTGCATCGGACAAAATAAATGCGAATGCAAACTGGGCTATGTCTTGGATGAGCATCGGCCAAATCTCTGCCAGCCGCATTGCCCGCAGGGCTGCCCCAATGGCTATTGCAGTGCGCCCAACTTCTGCATCTGCAAGCCAGGCTTCATCAAGAGCGGCATCAAGGGACGTCAGAGCTGTCAGCCCGTCTAAACAATTGGACTTGTCTATGTGAATTTATTCCAATTTTTAATTTGTTATCTAAGAACTAAGACCAATTAAACAAACGTCCGATTAGCGCATGAAACTCGTATTTTATATCTTCATCAAGCTCCTTGCGCAGCTGCAAGCTGCTCAGCTTTCGCTCAATGTACTGTGGCTCCAGGCACTGGCCGACGTAGTGCGTCCATCCAGCTGGACACTCGCAATGGCCGTTGGCATCGCAGCTTCCATTCAGGCAGTGCTGCTCATTTGGCACACAGCCGCAAACATTGGGCGACAGACATTTGCCGTAGTAGCCGCAGGAGCTAAAAGACATAAATTATAGGGTATAACTGAGTATGTCAAGTTAATTAAAAACACAATATTAGTCGATACGTATTTCAGTTATGAACTTGACCTTCCTCTAAGTCTATTTATTTCGTAAAGTCTAATTTTCAAAGAATTTCTTTGATTATTAATTTATATGAATAAGACTTCTTTTAATATTTTTTGTAGTAAAGGATTTCTGTGGTATTACCTTCATTCTTTGACAGTTTATTATAAATTATAGGGATATTTTGATGTGATAGGTAAATCAGTTGGTTGTTCCTTTCAATGTTTCATAAATTTATTCGTATATATAAACATAAATTTAGAATAAAAAATATTTAAGATTGTAGGTTTTTTACAAGCTCAGATATTTTATACAATCAAAGAATGGGTTATAAAGATATTAATGAAACTTTTAAATACGCTAACTAATTTTTTTATTTGAATATTTTGTCACTAAATAAATATTTTTTGTATTATTGTAGTTATTGTAATATTTATATTTATTTAATATATGATATTTTTGTCTATATCCAAATTCCTAACTGTGACTAAGCTAAAAAATGCTTAGTCTTATTGTAAAAACTTTTAAATTAATTTTTATTAAAAGAATTCAAAAATATTTTTAGACGAAACTTTAGAAGTTTATTGAAATAATATTAAAACAGTCAGGAATGTTCCCTGCTTTATTATAATTAGAGACGGGGTTGTAGCTAGTTACAAAACAGTTGACTAGGAAAGAGATATATTGAATTAGTTATGAATATCTCTCATATTGTTTAAGTGTTATTCAATTATTGATAGACCTACCTCTCGCACTTGGGCTCGCAGCTGTTGCCTCGCAGTTCGTAGCCCTCGAAGCAGCGACAGATGCCGGGAGCAATGCATACCCCATTGCCATGGCCACATTCATCCTGGCACACGGGCAGGCAGCTGGTCGTATTCACATCATACTGGTAGCCCGTACGGCAATTGCACTTGAAGCGGGACTCACAGAAACCATTCTCGCAGTGTCTGTATTGAATGGGGATTGTCGGATTAAAGAAATGTAGTCGATGAACTGCTGTTGATCAGTTGATACGCACAGATAGCATTCGGCCTCGCAGACATTGCGCTGTCGACGCTTGATAAAGCCCGGAATGCATTCGCATTGGTTGGGCGCCACGCATTTCCCGTAGCCGCAGTCTGGCGCACAGATGGGCTGGCAGCCTAGCTCTGAGCTGTGTCGATAGCCCGGCAAGCACTCGCATTTATCTGGTGCTACGCACTGCTCATGCGTGCCACAGCCCTTCGGGCAACGGGCGCGACAAAAGAGCCGGGTCTCCGGATCAAGAACATAGCCTGGCAGGCAGGCACACGTGCCGTTCAGATAGCAACGTCCATGCTGGCAGGCAATCGGACAGGTGTGTATGCAAGCGCCCTGCTCATTGCGCACAAATTCCGGAAAGCACTCGCAGTGACCCGAGGCACGGCAAAAGCCATTGCGACAATTGTCCGGCGTAGTGAGCCCACAATCCGGCACACATTGACCCGTATACGGATCTGTTCGATAGCCAGCGCAGCACTGTTCGATGCGTTGGAAATAGATGCTGGAACCATTGCCACGCACCGGCTGATGCTTCTGAGTCTGAAAGAAGATGGCACTACGACAATATTTTGGTTTTTTTACTTAGTCTGGCAACACTGTTTGCCCTACTTACGGCAGCTCGCGCTGACACAGATTATGCTGCGTTTGACTGAGTGACTCAAATTCAAGTGCTGTGTGTATATCGCCGTATAGCTCTGATCCCGCTGTCAGTCCCAGCAGCAGCAGCAACAGCAGCAGCAGCTGAGGCCGCACAACATTCCATATGCAGTGCATTTCTCGTGTTGTTTACTTATACAGCTTCCTGAAGCGAATGAGCACGGTGATTCAGATTGAGCGCCTTATCGGCTGTCATGAGAAAAAGAGTGAGAGAGAGAGACTCTTAGTGAGTCTGTTAAGGGAGCGAGAGGCCACGCTGCGATAACTATAAATAAACTATAAAGCAACAGAAGCCAGAGCTAATCCTAAGATTCAGCTCTAAACTTTATCAACATTCGATGAGCTAATAAAAGGGAGGTAGAGGGAGAGGGAGGTAAAGACAGATGATAGCTCTTGGCTTTAGTATAGTTCCATGTGCAGAGCAACTGGACTATAATAAATATTCTATATAATACTTGTAATCAAAATACCTGAATATAATATATTATTCATTCGAGTTTAAAATAGTCCATTTTTTAATCATGATCGATAACTTTTCACTCCTCTAATTCGATTCTTTTCACTTTGATAAAAATTTGAAATAATTTGTTAAGCTGCCATCTTTTATCATAAAGTTGGCCAAGTAATCTAGCCACATTAATATAACATATGAAAGCTGTGAGTCGACTAAGTCCATTTTAATTATATCAATTAATTTTTAGAATCTGTATTTATTCATATATGAAATGATTCATGTATAGATTGCTGTGGTCGTTCTGTGCCTATGAATTAATTTACTGCTAATGTTAGACAGGCGAGGCGATTCGTCCGTTTGCCCGTTGGTCCGTATGTTAAATGGATTTTGAGACTTGAAAAAACAACGATATCATATAAAAATTTTTATGAAATCGATTAAAATCGATATCAAGCTTCATTTATTAAAGCAAAGCTAAGCTTAATTCACGGAAAAGAATCATTTCGAATGAGCTGTACGGCAAGCAATTTGGACCTTAAATATATGTAGCCTATTTATTTATTTTATTCCATTCTTTAAATTTTTTATTATTCGTCTTTTTTTAATTTTTTTATTTATTTATTTTTTTTTGTTGCTTTTATTTACTTTTAACTTTTTTTATTTATTTATTTTCCAAAAAAGTATCGTAACAACACAACATGATATATCATGATACCTTATAAGCCTCATTCTATATGGAATAAGAATTTAATTAACAATAAAACAATTACATTTACAACTAATATTACAATATTCGCATATTATGAGGGAGACTTAATGGTTAGCTAATCGTGTTAGTAAAATCAACTCTATTCAGTCGCCTCAAAGGCTTTGCGGGTTGCAGTGCCTTATCAGTCTATCACTGTATTTAGCATATTTAAATTGTTTAAATTGCCCCTCATATGTATGTGCCATATTAAAATATTATAAAATTAAATATATACTTTTAATGTTAATCTGAATCATTCGCTCGATAGGTGTTACTGCGGTCCCCTATTTGCATATAATTTTATAATCACCACAAATCTGAATCAAGCATGAAGTACCCGATATTTGCACTCGCTTTCTGCATATAAAGGCAATGCGCTGATCGATTCCTATTTAGTTCTTCAGTTTAACTTGGGGCGCAAAGCAATCAAATTAATTTTGGAAATGAAGTCGTGGAACTATTTGCTGGCTAGTTGCCTGCTGGTTGTGTCTCTGGGTATTGCCAGTGCTAGGCCAGAACAAGAGACTAAAGTCACAGCTACAGAAACCTCCGATAGTAGTGAATGTGTCCCGGTATGTGGGCCAAATCAAAAGTGCCTCAACAGCCTATGCGTTTGCGAGGAAGACTATGACAATTTTAGTGAGGGGGGCGTTGTTAACTGCACCAAACCAGCTGTGGACGAGACTGCGAAGTGCCCCGAGGACTGCGGCTTAAATACCGAATGCCCGAATGGAAAATGCGTTTGTAAACTAGGATTCTACAAGGAGTTCATTGACAGCAAGGACTGCATTGAGAGCGCTTGTCCAGAAGGTTGTGCCGAAAATAAAAGGTGCTTTAACAGCCAGTGCGTTTGCAAGGAGGAATATGCTGAGTATGCTGACTGTATCAAGCCTGTTAGCGATAGCAACACCACCAGCGCCGAGAGCACCTCCAGCACCGAGAGCACCACAAGCACAGAGAGCACCACCAGCACCGAGAGCCCCACCAGTACCGAGAGCACCACCAGCACCCAGAGCACCACTACTACTGAGAGCACCACCAGCACCCAGAGCACCACTACTACTGAGAGCACCACCACTACCGAGAGCCCCACCAGCACCGAGAGCCCCGTCATAACTGAGAGCACCACTAACACTAAGAGCACCACCAGCACTACCACCACAACATCCAAACCCTCAACTACAGCCAAACCAAAACCTAAACCAGAAAAGGCTGGCATGAGTGCTTGGGCAATCGCTGCAATTATTTTGCTGGTGGGTTGCATTGTGGGTTTCGGCGGATTCATGCTGTGCAAGGTCAGGAGGCGACGCTGTGGCGTTCGCACCCCCAAACGCGAGATTTAGAAGAAGCACAACAAACCATAAAAATAATTTATATAATCTTTTTAATTGTTAAATATTTAATTATAATAAGCTCCGAATAAGCTCAGAATAATTTAGTTTGTTCGTTGCTATTTCGTTCCATGTAATATTCCTACTTAAAGTTTAAACAACTCGTAAGACTTCAATCGTTATTATATTATATTATATACAGAATATATTTGTGTTTGGTTAAATTGTTTTTAGGGTTGCAACTTACCTTTTACTTAACCTACCACAGCTGAACCTAGAGCTCCGGAAATTGAAATTCTTGAACCAAAGTCAACCGCAATATCTACAACAATTTCTTCAACAACAACTTCTACAAATTTATCCACAATATCACAATCTTCAACAACAACTAGAACAACCTAATATTCATTAATATCCTCAACTACCTCTTCAAAAATATTTTCAACAACACCTTCAAGGACTTCTACAATTTCATCCACAATATCCCAATCTTCAACATTATCTACTACAACTTAATGTTCAACAATATCTTCAACAATTGAACCTACGACTGAGTCTACAACGGAATCTTCAACATCTGCAATATTTTCAACAACACCTTCAACAACTTCTACAATTTCATCCACTAAAATTTTCAACATCTCCAATATCTTCAACAATATCTTTAACAACTTCTACAATTTCATCCACTGAAATCTTCTACAATATCTTCAACAACACCTTCAACAATACCTTTAACAACTAATACAATTTCACCCACTGAAACTTTCAACAACATCTCCAATATCTTCAGCAGTATCTTCAACAAGTTCTACAATTTCATCCACTGAAATCTTACAAAAAAATATCTTCAACAACACCTTCAACAACACCTTCAACAACTTGTACAATTTCATCCACTGAAATCTTCAACAACATCTGAAATATTTTCAACAACACCTTCAACAACTTATACAATTTTATACACTGCAATTTTCAACAACATCTCCCATATCTTCAACAATATCTTCTACATGTTCTACAATTTCATCCACTGAAATCTTCTACAATATCTTCAACAACACCTTCAACAACACCTTTAACAACTAACACAATTTCATCCACTGAAATCTTCAACAACATCTACATCCAGATCATCACTTAACACCAATAATAACACTGACCTATTTCATAGCACCCGGCACAACGATCAAGGAACTGAGCACCGTTGATCAGCAGCAATACAACAACTCACAAGAGATCTAAAGCATCCACTTCAAGAAGTTCAATATTTTCATTAATTAGAAAATGATCAATAATTTCCATATTTATATATTTATTATACAAATTTATAAAAAGTAAAAGTTATATGGCCATAATATTCAGTAGGAAGCGACATGCTGTTGGTATTCCCATTAAATCCAGCTTATATAACTAGTAAATATGAATATTACTTTTTTACTTTTATTTTCTAAGTTATGTAAGACATACAAATGGTATAGAAATATAATTTTATTTTTATTTTTATTTATTTTATTTTTATTTTTATTTATTCTTATGTAAAATTGGAATTGTGCCTGTAAAATTTACAAATGGGCAATTTTATGCGTTCCAATCTGGCTGGGCACCTGCAGGAAATTGGAGTTTTGTGGCGGAATGATCAAGTGGGAAACATGTGAGCCGCTGTTGGTGGTGCTGGATATGTGCTGGTGGTGGTGCACCCGTCCATTGCTCTGGCGCAGTGGCTGCGGTGGTGCCAGAAAGGCAGTTGCCGTGGTTGAATGCTGATAGCGTGACTGCTGCGAGGCATGTGGTTGAGATGAGTGGTGTGAATGTGGTTGTAGCTGTTGCTGCTGCTGCTGCAACTGATGGTGGTGCTGGTGGTGATGCTGCTGCTGTTGATGATATCGTATCTCATCGTATAGATGCGAATCGAGGCTGCCTTTGCGCGACTTGGGGGATACGACCGAATACAGAGATTCCTTGCGTGCATAGGCATAGGGCTGAGTTGTAATCGAAGAGTTATTGCTGGGCGTGTCATAAAGATCAGGCAAAGATGCTGCAAGAATCGTTCGATAAGCGTGTTTTGTTTAACCATGTGGCTAATGCGACAAATAGCTTGATCTGAGAGTTGCACAAGAACTGAGTTCAGTCTAATTATAATATTATATTATACAAATGGCTGAGTATTAATTAAATCTATTATTATAATATTTTTATAAATATTAAAATATTAATATATTAATTTAGAAAATATTCCACAAAAATCCACTTCATGAATCAAGCTACTTAACGAACCGCCCTCTTTACAGGCGGGGCGACACTTACATACCCTCGTTCGGTTGGGTTTGATTGGTGGGTAAGATGGCCGGCGGCTTTGGCAATGGTCCATGAAAGATTTTCCCCGTATCACTACTGATCACCACTTCCGGAGTGACATGTCCATGTGGCTGGGCGTTGCTGAACGTGCCATTGGCATTGTAGATGACGGCCTCTTTCTGCAAATGCTGCCGCCTGTAGACGTAGATGAAGCCCAATATGATGACGATCATCAGCATGAGCAGCATGACAATCAGAGTGCTCAATAGGCTGGAGTCGTGATCGTGAGCACTGCGACTCGGATTACTCTCTCCGGCCGCAAAGCCAGCCAAATTCAGTTGCGGTGCCCGATCCTGGCTGCCCCCGACGCCGCCAGAACTTGTGATTACATGGATGACCTCTGGCGTGGGCACACCCGCTGCTGCAGCTGTATGCAAGTTCTCGAGCAGAGCATTGCTGGACTCGTGCAAGATGATCTTGGGCGTGTGCGCTGCCTCCTGCACGGGCTGTTTGATCAATATGACCTCCGGCAAAGCACTGGGCGTCACCTGAACGTGACTGCTCTCAGACATGCTGCCAATGCGCTTGGCAATGTTGTTTATATTGTGTGTTAGGTTCGCCATGGTCGAGTTGATTGTCTCCAGCACAACATGATTGACGTTGACGGCTTCTAAGCTTTCCGGGCCCAGACACTCGCCCGTCTGTGGATGGCAGCGTTTCTCTGGGCACTCGCAGACTTTGCGGCACATGACGCCATGTGTGCCCGGTGGACACGGCTGCTCGCAGCTGAAATAATGTAAAATTAATTCAGACTACACTCAAAGAAAAAATATTTTCTTATTAATTGAAGTTAATCACAAATTAAAGCCAAGTTTTGCATTAACTTACAGCTGACCAGCCCAGCCGGCTATGCAATGGCAACCTCCTGATTTATTATCACATACGGCATCATTTTGGCACTGGCATGAGTTCTTGCAGTCGAGGCCCCAGCGATCGTGATCACAGCCTAGAAAGGGAGAACGTGAACTGAATGGCATCTCAGTCAGAGGCACTCTTCCTCAGCTCTACTCACGCTGCGTGCAGTGCTTGCCGGTGTAGCCCTCCTCGCAGCTGCATATATCGGGCATAAGGCAATTGCCACGCCCACAGCCGCCGCGACAAATGGGACGGCAGCTGGCCTGGCTGTCCGAAAGATTGCCCTCATAGCCTTGACAGCAAAAGCGAACCGTACGCGTTTTGTTCAGTCTCTGAAAGAGCAAGAGAAATTTTTTTGAGAGAGAATGAGTGAGTTGACATTGAAAATAAACTAAAAAGTTGAGCTTATTTTAAGTAGTTTATCATTTATATAAATAAATCTGAGCCAAGAGAGTTTTCTATTTGTTTCTTGAATAAAATATGAATCACTTGAGATACCGAAATATAAAATTATTTATTATATGTTTATATAATAAATATAAAATAAAATAAAATGAGCTAAACCACTGAAATCAAATGTAGTTCAAGTTCTTGAAGTGAAGCAAGTAAGAACTTAGCCAACGGTCATGATCGACTACATAATACTCTTTCCAAATACTCAATATTTATTGCAAAATCGAAAATATGGAAAAAATAAATCGAAAATTTGATTGGCCGTATTTTCTGTGGAGAAGGTCAACAGAACGCCACAAATATATATATATATATTTATCCAAAGGAGTATATATATAACTAGAAATATATATATGACGACCTGCCACGCCTCTAACAGCATTGAAAACATAATATTTCTTAAACCAGTCACTAAATAGTCCTTCTTGCCACGCCCTTGACTCCATAATTCACACTTATGAGAATGGACAGCAAGACGTACATTACATAAATAAAATATACTCTCTTAACATTATGAACGGGTATAATAAGCAATAGAGATAAGTTCTGCTTCTGAACGAAAGCTCAAACTCTCGACATTGCTATCATATTCTATATTCTTATAATATGATACGCTCAAAAACCCACAACGTTTTTATGAATAGATTGAATACATATATTTATGAGTATATGTGAAAATATAAGAATATTATCAAATACCGCTTCCTGTTAGGGTTACAAATTTGTGTGGCTTTGGCAAAGTTTTTAGCCTGTCGCTTAGTTCGCAATGCGCTTGCAAAAGAGCAGCACTTAAAGAAATTTATTTATATTCTACAAATATAAAATTATAAAATTCAATATAAAAAATGCAACGTCTTAAGTTGTCGACTCTACTGTGTTGCAGTTGCTTGCTGTTGTTGGTGAATGCTGCCGTCATTGAAGATTTTGACCTATTCGGCATAGAGTTTGATCTAATGTCATATACATCCGAAAGTTCGGCGTCTAGCTCAACCCATTTAACCGAGACTACAGATTCTGGATCAGACACAACGGATTTCACAACAGATGCAGCTTCTTCAACCACAACCAACACCACTCCCAAGCCCCCAACCACAACCACTCAACGACCTAAGCCACCAAAACCACCACACAGATTATGGGAAATAATTATTGTTCTTGTTATCCTAACAATTGTCATAATTTTTGCCTTACTCATTTGCAAGTTAAGGAATAGCAGATCCTACGATATTTAAGCTCTAAAGGGAAATGTTGAATATTATATTAATATTATAATATATTAATAATGCGTATATATTATTAAATATCTAATCAAAATATATTGTTATTGCCAAAATGTAAGCTTGAATTAACAGGTTGAAAGGAATATAAAACAGCAGAGTATATTCTTTACTTTATATATATGTATAATAAATAAATAAATAAATAAATAAAATATAAATTTGTATAAGTGGTAAAATGTGAATTATCTCTCATATATATATACATTTAAATTGTATTAGTTTATGGATAAACGGAATATACATCCAGCCTTAATTTCAGCATAATTATTAGAGATTTCAGTGGTGCCTAAAAGTATTCCATAAATTTTTCTTATCAAATATTCAGCTCTATAATATGCTAAGCTCTTAAACAAATGGAGTTTTTAATGTACGAAAAGTTACTGTCAGAAGACATAAGCTGACTATAATTTTCCTACTCTATATACTATACTGTACTGTGTTCTATGCAGCACTATGCTGCTTATGATACTATATGATATTATATATCATACTGGCTGTAGGTTATAAAAATTGTGTATATATGCTATGCTATTTAATGGTGCAGTAAATGAGTTTTCTACGTGGGGCAGGACCTGCATCCTTGTAAACGTATGAATACCATAGCTGAGATAGTATTTTAAAGCTATATGCATACCTTATATAATCAGCTTACTCAACTCTATTATAATATGCTTTACTCAACCAAAAAATGTATAATAATAATATATCAATATATGTATATCAGATCAGTCTAGATTCTCCATTTTATTTTTCTAATAATTATATAATATTCTTTCCCGCATATTTTGGAATTTAAACTCCTTTTCTAATACTTAACGTTTTTTACAAATTAATTCTAATTTAATGAAATGCTCCACGATGCCTGTAACTCGACATGCTTACATCTTGCAATAATCACACTTTATTCACTCAACAAATCATATTCAACATTTTGTATTTTTGGACTCTGATCTTTAATAAATTATTCGTTAAGTAAATCTTCTTGCACCGACAGACACTCAATGTCAACTCGTTGAACTTTGTAATTCTGCTGCGCGTTTCAGGGCAGTTACAAAAGGCGTAAGTGCTGATTATGTTAAATCTGAGCAATGCACACAAGACCACGCCCACACACACGCCCCTTGAGTTGACAACTTAATTGAATAATCCGCAGCGCTTCTCACAATCATTTGCTGAGTGTCCCGAAGCATTCGCACAGTTCATTCATTCAGTCAAAATTCCGGAGCGAACTTACGCATTGTTCTCTCTCCCTCCGCTGATCAAACATTATCTGCATCTGTATCTGTGTGTTCAGCATAAATTAATAAGGCGGAAATTTTAATATAAACACAGTTATTACGAATACGGCGCGTTCTTTCAGCTCCATTGTAGGCATAATTAAGCGCAGCCTTTCCTCGAATTGTCCCCCCACTGAGTGCGTACCGCTCATGCGTGTCGCACTTGCCTGTGTAATTGAATACATATTGAGATTGAGCAATAAATTTTTACATATGCCAGAGCTCATGTTGCGGCCACAACTCGTAGAGCTTCCAAGCTCTAAACACCCGCCCGCCCCACTAACTAACTGTCAGCTGTCAGATTCGCATCAATCATTGTGGCGCCTACTTTTCATTTAAGTTTACATAATTAACTTGGTTTTTTTGTGTGTTTGTGAAAATCTTTCGGCACTTGGCCAAACCTAACTAATCTTTATATGTATTTCTCTCTCTGAAACTAGTTTCTCATCGTCTCACATCTCTTAAATGGCTTTTTGGCAGTCCACAGTGATTTTTTTTTCATGTTAATTAATTAAACGCAATTGGCAATTAGCAACTATATACATCTATATGTGTAGGTATCTTTGCCAAAGTCCATTTTGGACTGTCTTCAATTGCTGCTAGTCCAAAAAATTGTGAAGCAGCTTACTTAGAAAACGAATATTTATATAGATCCAACAAGTCTCTTCTCAGTTGTCTATGTTATGTGAGCTTACATCATTTATTGACTTCTGCAATTTGGCCTGCATGAGCTTTCTTCGCTCTTCTTCTTAGCTCGCAAATATTCCATAACAAATAACTGCCTGACTGAACTCAGATTCTACAGTTGTTAAGGTTTTCAAATTTTTTATGCAGTTTCTATAGCATTAATTTGGAGTACATTTCTAGGATTCTATATGAATTTAAGACAAAAAAACTTTATTTTATTATCGCAAAAAGTGTCATATGCGTCTAATTAAACTAAGCTTTCATAAGAGCTAAGATCTTCAAATATTTATACAGACTCTGAATAATATAATTTTAACTCACATAGCTCCTACTTCATCTACTATGAACTTTATACCTTAACTATAATTCTTTCATAGAATAAATACCTCGAATTTCTCATATCAAATACAGACTTATTTTAATTAGATTTAGCTTAGTTTCTTCAAGTCACATGTTGAAATTTAAAATAGTTAAATTATGAAATTAATTTGCAACAAGTCGCAGACAGGCACACTCAGACACACGCACGCCTGTGCACACATAATTAGAGTTGAAATTGTAAACTAAACCAAAACTGGCTGCATCTTATGGTCAGTCGGAACGAGCGTTAGCGTTGTGATGCAATTGAAAGTGTGTCAACAGCTTTAGCGTCAACTGCAGCAACAGCAGCAGCAACTGAATCAGTGGAGTATAGCCCGGACTCTCTAGCTGCGCTGCGCTGCATATTTTGCTTTTCATTTACACTTTCCATCACTGACACCATGACATAATTATTTTGGCTAAAAACTAAGCAAATATAACCAGCCGAGCCTGATTAGGCGAACGCCCCAAGCTCCTACTCCCCTTCTCCAGCTCTCTAAAGCAGGCAACCGGATTCTGCTCATATTTGGTAGCTACTTGTTTTTCTCGATTTTTCGCGCTTTTTTCGCTTTAATTTTTTTAGTTTTAATCACAGCGAAAATATTTATTTTTATATGTATTTAGTTAAGCGTGTGTTAAGTGGAATACTCTTTGTGCAACATGGACTTGCGGTAAACTAATTGCTTTTGATTAGGCCATATTTATGTGTCTTTATTTTAATAGTTTTTAATACAGTATCTGGTCTGTAAGATATGATATATAATATTTATCAGCCTAACTTGAGAATATATATCGTAAGTGTTAAGAGTTGATATGCTATTGGGAGCGAGCGAATTTATCATAAGTAGTATATTGAGTACATATATATTATATTATCTATGTTAAGAAAATATATGTTGGTATATAAGCTGATATTAGAAACTATAAGCTGACACTAATATCGTAAATTGTAGCGTATATCGTAAATCAAAGCAGTAAAGAAAATTATAAAAATATATAAATATATACAAATATCTATATATAGATTATTTAAATATATAGAATATCTGAACAACATACAATATAATATATATATATATATATATATATATATATATATATATATATATATATATATATATATATATATATATACGTATTTTTCTTAGAGCATTCACAGTTCAGTTGCAAAAAATGATCAATTATCACGTATACGACGCACCAGCCCATAAGTTCATACAGTAACGTTTACAACCAAGGACATTAACTGTGCTTGGCACTTGGGTCAAAACCGGTTCAGGTAGCACAATGATTGTGCTTGCTGCACAGCTGCGACTTCCGTTCTTCTGTGTGCCGCAAACACTTTAAGCGCTTGCGCAACTCTTGTCACTGCTGTATGCATTTTATTTGACAGAACCCATTTAGTGTGGGGCCGAAGCTAATGGCAATTTATGGAACACGGCTAGTTGCGCGGCTTCCTGGTTAACATTTGTGGCAAATGGAATCAGGTTTAGGGGGCATGTGGCCAAAGACACGATGACGCAATCGGAAAGCCGCAAACGCTGCCCGCTAAAGGCAGAGCCGGCAGTCGCCACTTGGCCAGTTGGCCAGTCGAATTTCGGAGATTTGGCAGACACCTGGACTCACCTGCACCTTCATCACCTCGCGCATTTCCGTCTTGTAGGAGGGGCATCGCGGCGGTATCTCCAGGCACCAGGTGGACGTGCGCACCCGAACCGGCTGCACCTCGGGCACCTGCAACAGCTCCTCGTATGGCTCCTCGCGCGTACAAATGTTGCCCGCGCTCTGTATTGAGGGCAACGCCATGACCGTTGCATTCACATCCTTGAGGTAAGTATTCACCCGGAGGCTATTGTTTTGGCTGTCGCTGGCGACAACTTGCAACAGCAGCAGCAGCAGCAACAGCAATGGCAGCAGTGGAAGCCGCAAGTTGCAACACACTTGCGGCAGCTTCATGTTTTCTACTATTATTTTTGGAATTTCTTTTTTTAATTTCCTTGCTTATTTGTAGACTTTAATTGCTGGAGTCAGAAATATTTTCTTATATTATTTTAAATTTACTTTTTGCTTAAATATTTTCTTAAAAAACGTATTATATATTTTTTGGCATTCGTAATAAATGGTATATTTATACTTTGATTTATTATTTATTTTTAATATTTGTTACCATTTTTTATTAAGAAAAATTTTTATTTTTTTTAACCAATTTATTTATTTTTATTTTTCCAATGAATTAGATTTTATTTTTATATTTTTATTTTATATGTATAGTATTTTTAATTTATTTTCAATTATTTTCTTAAATATATTATCGTGTTTTGTTCATTTTATATTTTTTTACAATTTAAAATATATATTTTTGTTTTTATATATTTTGAATTACTTTTTTTGTAATTAAATTTGTTAAACTGTTTTCTACACAATAAATTTTTTACATTTTTACTATTTATTATATTAAGTCTTCAGTTCCTTTATATCAAAAGTTCTTAAAAGAGTTAAAACTATTTTAGCGTTTCATTTCTCTAAGTCTTGTGATTGATTAGTTGCACGAATTCTTTGGCTTATTATGATGCTCGAACTTTCTTTAACTTTCAAAGAGATTTTGTTTGTTCTTAAATCAGAATCTTTCCGCTCGATTTGCGTTGCGTGTGCGCTTGGAACGCGACTCTCGTAGTGACTGTTGTTTTTCCCGTTGGCTGCGATTCAATAGCACGTCTGGTCGCGTGTTCCTTCTCCAAAATCAGTGAAACAGTAAACAAATGGGGAAAACATATATATGTACAGACACATAAACAGACATACATACATATGTATATGCATCTGTCTCTGTATCAGAGTTTGTGTATAAAATTGTCGTCATTGCAAATTGGCGAAGCCGACGACACTTTTTGTCGAGCTAATGAAGGCCGTTGCGCCGTAGCGGGGCGTCGTGGGGGCGTACAAGCGACAGGGCGGAAGTACGCACTGCACACAGTTCGAACTCTACAATGAAAGTGAAATGCGGCACACAGACACACGCACACACACACACTTGCATATGCTAGTCTACACTGCAACTCTACACACGATCAACTCTTGAATTCTCTCTCGCTCTCCCTCTCGTTGTCTGTCTCTTTCTCTCTGCCCCTCTCGTTAACGATGATTGCATCTAATTGAAATGTTGATAATGTCCTTAACATGCTGTCGCTTGTTGTTGTCGTTGTTGTTGTTGCTGCTGTTTAAGCAAGGCAAACGCGCTTTTTGTTTTTGTTATTTGCGCTTTTCTGTTGAAAAGCGGCGACAGTTGACGGAACGTGGGAGAATGCATAAATTAACGTACAAATTTCATTTAAGTAAAAATAAGATTTGTGTCTAAATTGAGAAAAAACTTGAGTTTGTGGGTAAAATTTCAAATTTGTACTTTATATATTTCTTCATGTTTGAAACTTCTTGTAATTGAACCAGAAAAATATTTATATAACATCAGGTAACAAATAGCAACCTGAGAACGAATTGGGACTCTGCCTTAACAAATTGAAGCAAATAGAATAATAAATATAGAGCTTCAATAGAAGAACTATTATCAAATGAGCTTGCTATTGAATGTTTGTTTTGTTTTTTTACTCATTTTTTTTTTTAATTACTCATTTGTCTCTGATGCACAGTAAATATAAAATATAAAATATATAATATATAATATACTAAATTATAATATAATATAATGTAATACAATATAATATAATACGATATAATATAATAATTGTCCTGAGCGAATGACGCAGTGTTCAAACCTAACTTTAGAAATCTCTTTATTTTAATCTTGGTGAGATCTTCTAATGCAAAATAATTATTTGTTGGCCCAATTTGATGATGATGACAATTTAATTTATCAACACATATGTCGTCAATGTATCTGCATATATAAACTTCCCTATTTCCCTCTATCTTAAATTGAACTCTGTTTGTCTTCTTTAATTTAATTTAGTTTTATTTTGATTCAGATTTCAGATTCGAATTCCCCGCTTAATACAAATTAGTCAAAGTATAGTCTCTTGCTGAAGTAACTAAGTTCTGTCGTGCTCTTATAACAAGCCCCTCCTTTTAAACTAAAACATTTTAGTTTGGAAAATTGCTACTAAGTTTCATTGGTTTGTGTCATCATCTCCGTAGACTAATCCTTTATGGCACTTGCCACGACAACTCCCACACAGACTCCCAGCTTTGCTCATTGATTGTAATGGGTTTTGTAAACAAACTGCAGCACGCCTCCAGCCGCACCCACTTGAACGCCCCCCTTCGCTTATAGACAGCGAAAACAACGCTCACTTAACTCAAGTGTCTGATTTCTTAGACAAACTTTGAGAACAAAGCTGACACTGAGCTGTGAGCAGGCCCCTAGCCCCCATCTGTGGTCACGCCACGCCCCGAAAGCGACCCGGCGTTGATTATCTTGTTTACACTGAAGTTGCAGTTGCAGTTGTTATTATTATTGTTGTTGTTGTTGTTGCTGTTTCTTGTGGCTTGCAATTTATTAAATCAAATTTACAAAAACAAAAAACCAGTTGAGTTAAGAGAGAGAAAAAATGATTTTTATGTTTATTATTTGATTCAATTATGAAGCAATAACATCTGCGACAATGTGCGTGCGACACTGGCGTTCCAATGACCCGCATCACAGCTGCCACGCCCCCAGCACCACCCCCTGTAATACAGTTTTTTTTAGTTTGCATTTGTTCACATTTTATTTTCCAATTGTTTTTGGCTTCGTTTCAAGTTCAACTCGGCTTGACTTGACTTAAAGCGGAAATAAACATATATACTATATAAATATACTCATATACATGTGTATATATATACATTTATATATTTTATTGACATGCTCACTTAAATTAGAAAATAGCTCAGCCAGCTGCTCAGGCCAAGTAACAGCAGACTGAACAGTTGGCTGCTTGCTCCATTGTAATAGCCGCCAAAGATCTGAAGTCCGGCTGTCTCGATGCTGCGCTTGCAGTAATCTCCATCGTAGTTCCAGCCCACATACTCATTGGTGCGCAACGCCTCCTGGCGTAGCCATTCCTCAAGCGGTGCAAAGTATTCACGCAGAGCACTGCCATCCAGACGGCCCTCGCCTAGCGTCTCCTGCAGAACCTCTTGCCAGGGCTGAGAAGCGCCCTTGGCCATCAGTTCTCTGAGAGAGATAGGGAGAGAGTGAGAGGGAGAAAGAGAGAATCAGAAAAGAAAATTCGTTATTTGAATTAATTTCAAATTTTAAAATGTAATAAAAGATATAATAATAATTATATAATTGTATTTGAAGAACTTCCCTCGACGGCCATAAAAATATTTGACTTTTTAAAATATTATCTAGAGTCTTTTTTATAACTAAACTCCACTGAGCATAAGCACTTCTAATTTAATCTAAATATTTCCTATTAATCTTAATTAATTAAAAATTAACTTATTAATTATTTTTCACTTACTTTAATAGATTGCCTGCGGCTGGCTGCCGATAGATGTCGCATTTGTGGAGCGGCTTTCGCGGATCGTTGGGCACATATTGGCCGGCGGCGCGGCACATGCTGCGATATAGCTGGAACTGCAGCACCGTGGAGAAAAAGTATCTGCAAGATACAAAACAAGATATTATATATAAGTATATATGTATATGCATAGAGTAACATGACTTTTAGAATGGACAAAGTCACGCTTATTGATCGCATGCGAGTCGAACGTTATAAAAATTGTCAATTGTTCTGCATTGGGTGAGAGTTGAGCTGAGCTGAGCTGCGCTGAGTTCAGTTAAGTACAGAAGCAAACAAAGCCAACTTGTTGTGGTGTAGATAATGTGGCTCAAGGTCGCACCACAATTGCAACTAAGTCAGAACAAATTGCAAGTGGTTTTGCATTTCGAAATCGTACATGTATAAAGTTAACTTATTAGCCGACATAAGCGAGCTACAGCTCTCAACTAATCGATTGGATGTGCCCTGACTAGGCTAGATCCAAAAGACTATATGACTCTGGACTATATACATACATATGGTATAGCAATTGTATCGGTTTCTAAATTCTTTGTAATTGTACTCTCTGTAAACCTATATTATACATCAAATTATATAGAATGTAACTGGAATGTTAAGACAAATTGTTCAATATTTAAGAGAATGTAAATAATCTTTGTCTATAATAATATAGAGTTCTGAATTGTTGAGCATTCAAGTTGATACTTCTCAACAAAATGCACCAAGAGCTTTCAAGTTCCAAACAAATTTAGTCTTTGTGCTTGAATTTCTTACAGCTTCCAAAATATTTCTACTGTTATTATATTATTTCTACTGTTCAACCTCCAATTGTATAATTTTAAGACAAAAATGAATAAATTATATTTATATTAAACTCTGTTTTCACTCTACAAAACCTTTTTTGTAGGCATTTATTTAAAATGCAAAAAATAATCAACGGTCGCTCAATTTAAAAGAAAACGAACGGAAATATTCATTAAAATTCAGTCAAAATTAAAAATCATCGAAATAAAAATTTCATTGCATACCCCCAAGGGGCAGGCAGGCGCCACGATTAGGGATTAATATTGGCTAAAAAGTCGTCACACAGGCGAAATCAGCAGCAGGGACAAATGTAAACTAACATTGAAATGTTAACTAACCGTGTAACAGATGAAATCAGTAGCAGAGATATTGGGACAAATGTTAATAAACATTGTTATGCTAACTAACAGTGTGGCTCGGTGTTATCTTACAGTATTTTCCGCGATACACTAACATACTGAGTTGTTGTTAAATAACAGGTGTAGCTCATGTTAAGTCAACAGCGGAGCAGCTTCTGCAGCTGTTAATCCCTTAACCTATGTATATTTTAGCATAACTCGGCTAGTTATTAACCGATTCCGATTCTGATTGTAGTTCGGCTATTTATTACTAAGTGGGCGTGAACGACATTATGTAAATGGGTTCAAAAATACAACTATTAATATATGAATATATATTTATATATTTCGGGGTTTTTTTTTATTGTGGAGATACCTATTTGTGTTTATCACGTAGACCTTAAGAGATTTTTTATAGGTTAAAATTGTATTAAAGCTCAGGGTCATCTGTGAAGCTAATGCCATTTTTTTGGACTTAGCTCAACGTTTATTTTCGTATGCAATACAATAGAAGCAATAAAGTGTCGAGTGATAACTAAATTGGGTTTGTTTTATTTTTTCTATAATGCAATATTTGATCAACTGCGAAATCCAGTTGGATTGTTGACTGATTCCAGAACAAGTTCAATCAATATTTTTGCATATTTTTTTCTTTTTACGAGAATCAGCTGTGAATTTTGATGAGTTCGATGAGTTGTTGGACTCTATGCAAATGATGCTTAAGCCAGTTCTTAGCACAGCTGAAGAATGGTGCGCAGCGCGATTAGACAAATTTAGTGTATTGTTTGCGTGGGGGATTCACCGTTCTGAACCAGTCGCTGCTAATTATGTTGGCAAGAGAAATAACCAAAACAAAATTATTATTATCATTTGCAAATCTATGATTTATATTTCTTTAAGCTAAATTATTAATAGCACAACCTTCGCTTGACTTCACGCAACTTGTGCGCTTGCCTTGAACTATGAGCTCTATGAAGAGTGCGATAATTGTAGACTATAGAGCTAAGAGTTTTATAATGTGAGAATTGTACTTAAATATGTTGCTAATTGGAATTTTAAGCTCAACTATCAAAATGTACTTCAAATTTAAAACGCAAGCAATGAATATCGATTGGGTGTGAAGCAATACATAATCAAGAGATATATAATTCCACTTTAAATGTAGAATAAATCTTAATACTAAAGCTTGCAAGACATTCGTCATGAGCATTTGATGAAAGTCCAAAGCCAAAACTAATTCAAAACAGAATAAGAAATAAAAATTTAAAACAAAATATATATACTGTATTTTATACGTCATTTAATATTTACCCGCTGTAATCCCGTTAAAGATATTTTAATACTACTTCTAGGCCATTTCAAAACAAAATACATAAATATTTAGTATGTAGGACACGCGAAAAAAAATAATAGGACATGAAGTTCTCATAAATAATTTTTAGCTTAATTTTGTGACGTTTAGAATGTTCTTTTATTTGACGATCGCGTTCGTATTCTAAAAGAATTGGACTTTAGAATTAAATATGTATGACCTAAAATAAAATTTGATTTTACCGCTAGGCACCAAAGGTCTTTCGGACTTAACATAACTAATAAGCATAAATTGTGCCTGAAGATAATTTAAGGTTACCTTATGCTGGGCGCTGTATTTATAGCTTTCTATAGAGATTTCCAGAGATTATGTAAAATATGTGAAGTAAAGCTTGAATTCGATATTCCTTTTTGCTAAGTTTGATGCCCAATCTAAGCAATTTATCTATTTAATTTCAGCTGAAAATTATAATTTTGGTTCTCTAATTGCCGCATTGGCAGATATTTTAAGTATGGAAATAAGACATTTTCGAAAAGAAAATGAAGAAAAAACAAACAACAATAATTGCATATTCGAGGTAAAAAATAGTCGTTGGCGGCCAAAGTCTTTTGATACGAAATATCAAATTGTACAATTGCTGCGTACGTGCAAATTGCAATTGTTTTGCCATTTTGTAGCTCTTTGTAGATCGTAAACAGCGCTGAGCTGGCGAATTGAACTGCTGTGGAATGGTTATGGAACCATTCATTAGCGCCAAGCAGTTTAACGACATTGCTCATACGCCCCGCGGCGCCAAGCATAAAGATTACAGCTGCCTGCCTGGCTATAGCATGATTGAAGCCGTTTTTGTGAATGGCTTTTGTGGCAGCAACAGTAGCAGCAGCACCAGCAACAGCCTTTAGAGAATTACAGATTTTTCAAATATTTTTGTGAGCGGCGAGAAACACATGTTTCATGTGCCAAGCAAAGCAGCTGAAAAGAATTTTCGCAATATTTAATTTTAGCACTAAAAACAAAAAAAATTGGACTAATTGCCGACTGACTAACTGACTGACTGACTGACTGATTGACTGGACGAGCGTTAACCCCCAGTGCTGATTGAATGATTGAGTGGCAGTGGCAACAGTCGAGACACAGACATAAAGTCGAACAGCTGCTGCTGGTTCGGCTGCTTCGACTGCTAATCCCTGTTATTGGGTCATGTCTCAGACACCGCCGCAGTCTGCAGTCTTCTGTCTTCAGTCTTCTCTGGGAAAATGTGGCCACGATGTGGCAACTACGGCCAAGTGCCAAAAAAAAACAAAAACAACTGAACATAACACAACACACAAAGTTGTTGTTGCTGCTGCTGTTGCTGATGCACTTAATGGCACTTTGGCACGTTGTTTCTCTAACTTCTGCAAGTCGAGCCGTGATCGAACATTGTGAAAAGTGTGCATTAAAATGAATTTTTTATTTTGCTCGTTGTTGGGTTTTTCTCTTTTGCAACATTCTCTTGGGAAATGCTTGGGGAATGTGTGAAAACTAAATGTATGAAATTTGATTGAGATAAGTTAGTTAAGCTCCATCTATATAAGATAATAAATTAGGTGGGTATTGTGCTGCGTATAGATAGGTCTGCTGAGTTGCTCTCTTTCTCTCTCTATTAATAATTATATTTCTACCTCTATCTTTATACAAACTCTGTTAAAGAACTTTGTAAAGTCATTATCATTAGCTAGTTCGTGTTTTTCTTTATATCCAAAAGTATTTTCCACTCTAATTTAGATCAAAAACATTCCACCAGCTGTCACATTATCAGGCTGGCAAATGACAAATGTCAAGGTCAAGTTGTAAAATAATCAAATGACAAAACAAAAAATTGTTTTCGCTCTTTCAAGCGAAACAATGTGAAGAAAAGCTATGACAATAGAGTCAGCGTAAAGGCAGACATGAAAAACCCAAAGACCGCAAGAAAAACATGAAAAAGTTGTGTCAAACCACAAAATTATATGCCCAAAAGTTATTGGACATGTCAGCATTTTGGCCATTTCGTCGCTTTTTTTTCTTTTTCGGATTTTAGAGTCTTGTCAGACGCGTTCATCGAAACGTTTCGAATGCATTGGCCGCTTGGCTGGTCAGTGGTCAGTGGTTTAGTGGGTTAGTGGTTGGCTGGCCGCTTGCATTGGACATTGAACCACATTTGTTTGCTGTCCCCCTTGCGCTGTCTTTGTCCCTCTCCGCCTCTCTCTCTCTCTCTCTCTCTCTCTGTTAGTAAATGACCTTAACTCGTTTATATCAACGTGACATTCACAGCACAGACACAAAATAAACAGATTTGAATTGCAACTGATCTACGTTTATGCCCAGCGCGCCATACTCATAAAAATCTTTCAGCTCGAGTAGCTAAAAACCTGGCTTTAAAATGAATTGAGAGCATTTATGAGACTGCTGGGCATAAACAGCAGTTGCTACAGCCTTTGAAGAGCTATATAACATTTAAACGATTTGAAAAAGATTTAATGAACTGCAGCTCACTTTATGGCTCTAAAAATGGGGGAAAAGCTTATGGCTACCGAAGACTTGGTAAGATTATGAGCTAAGCAAAGCCATGTATCTAGAGAATTTTATATCTCATGAAATGTCAGTTACTGTATCTAAGAATG